ACAACAATGTGATATATAAACATGTGTGTCCAATTTATTTCACTTAAAAGTATGTTTAAATGGTATGTTGTGTTGGCATTATCATTTAATTGTAGGCTAAGAGTTCCAGGACACAGTTAACCTTCAGTAAATGAGGTCACACTGAATTTTTTTTTTTTTGAAACAGAGTCTCACTATGTAATTTAGGCTGGGCTTGAACTCATTGTGTAGCCCAGGCTAACCTTGAACCCACAGCAGTTCTCTTGCCACAGCCTGCCGAATGCTGGGATTAGAGATATGCACCATAATGCCTGGTCTTTTTTTTTTTTTCAGTCTTGCTTTATAATCCAGGCTGGCCTGGAACTCGCTGTGTAACCCAGGCTGGTCTGAAATTTATAATCCTTTTACCTCAGCCTCCCAGATGCTGGGATTACAGGCCTGTATCACCATGCCCTATTCATTTCTACCATTTTTATGAACTTTTGTCAAGAAACTGACTTCCTTAGTGGATCTCCCTATTCAGTCTCTTAAGAAGCCTTTCCTGTATCCCCTACTGTATATTCTCTTAGAATTTTGAATTTCAGGGCCGGGGATTTAGCTCAGTGGTTCCGCCGCCTGCCTCACAAGTGCAAGGCCTCGCAAGTGCAAGGTTCTGGGTTCGATCCGCGGTACCAAGGAAAAAAAAAAGAAATGCAAAATGCAAAACATTTTTCCTAGTCTCATGGTAGTTAAAAAATATACTTTGGATTATACTTAGCTAGCTTTTATCTTAGCATTTATATATTACTCCCACCTTCATTGGCAGCATGTGAACAGCATCAGGAGCTTTATTTGGATACCTCAGAGAGATTTGGGGGAGGAGAGGAAAGGGGTGTCCATCAGTGAGTCCACTAATAAGTAATACCTATTGCACTACTGTGCTGGGTTCCTGTGGTGAGGCATGACTAGGTAGAGAAAAAATTAGGATCTATGGATCCCACAGTGCTTACATAGCAGGCTCATGACTTCGGACTTTCTAGTGAAAAATTTCTGTCAACACCCAATTTAAAAGAATTGTATTTTCACAGTCCTAGGGCAAACCTTTTTGAGCCGAGGTCATATCTGTGGTGGCATCTTACATTTTCCTGGTCCCTCTCTCTCATATCCTGTCACACTAAAATTAGTTCCTTGTGTATTGTTTATATTGGTGCTTCATAGAGAAACAGCATCTTCACTGAATTCATCGAACCAAATTCATTCACTTACTAGGTGGTTCAGCCTCTAAAAATACTTCCCATTGCTGGAATAAGGCTGTTTTGTTTCGTTTTGTTTTTGGTACTGGGGATCGAACTCAGGACCTTGTGCTTTCGAGGCAGCTGGCTGAATCACTGAGCTAAATCCCCAGCCCTAATAAGGCTGTTTTTTGATGTGCATTCTGAGCAAATTAGTGCAGCTTCAGCACTGTCATGAATGTGAGGCTTGGGTCCCCCTGTGCGACGGGAAAGGGATTTCCTAGACTTTTTAGTCTTTAGTCTTTGGAAATCAGCAGTCTCCAGGGTTTGGGTAGGACATATAGCCAAATAGGCTGCTTTGAGAACAAAATTTCTCCTTAGCTTCCAATTTTACCTTAAAAATGAATACAGAACTTCTGCTCTAGTGAATCTGTTTGTTTTACCATTAAAGGCAACTTCCCTTATAGAAATTTCTGAAATCTTGATCTGAGTGCTGCTTAGGTAGGTGTCTTCAGTTTGTGATTCATGGAATGATAAAATTATGTTCTTTTTTGTTATGTATGATTAATTAGAAACTTACCAAAAAACCATCTCCAAAATTTAGAAATATATATCTGAGTGTCAGGGAAAGCTGTCAGGTTATCCTTGTTTCATTTAATCCCAGCAATCCTGGGTTCTGAGCACTTAGTTCAAAGCATGTTAATGTAGATGAGGAACCAGGAAAGGATTTTATTCAGCAGTAGATGTGATCTATTCTGTGTCTTCATAAGATTACCTGGATAGGACTGGAGATTTAGTTCAGTGGCACCGTGCCTGCCTGGCAAGCACAAGGTCCTGAGTTCAATTTCTGGTACAAAAAAAAAAAAAGATTACCTGGAAAACAGTACATGAGAGGCAGTCAGGGCTGTTATTTCATCCATTCTGGTAGGACATCTGAGTAGATGCTGCAGCCAGAAGTTGCTCTGGAGAAATCACACTGAGGAGGAAGACCTGAAATGATGGAAGGAGAAAGTGAGAAGGGATATTCTCGATCCTTTTCTTTCTTGTGGACATTTTGGTATGTCACCTGGGCCTCATTTCCCTCAACTGTAAAACAACGACACCTATACTTTCCATGCCTACCCCCTCACCTTGTGAGGACCAAATAAAATGATATGTGTGCAGGTACCTTACAAAGTATAAATGTATAACTGTGGTAATGGTACTAGTTATATTGTCATTATTATAGTCTTATGTAGAGTAATATAAAAGTAGTTGTGACTGGGCGTGGCGGTGCACACCTGTAACCTCAGCACTCGGGAAGTTGAGTCAGTGAAAGGTCACTGAAGTTCGATGCCAGCCTCGGCTACATAATGAGATCAAGGTCAGCCTGAACTACATAGTGAGATTGTGTCTCAAGAAAAAAGCAAAGAGTAAAAAGGGTTTTTCTCGAATGCATAAACTTTACTCCTAGCCTATACCCTATGTGCAAAACTTCTTTAAAAACCTCTAGTTAGTATTTAAGTGCTCATAATTTTTTTTTTTTTTTTGCTACCTGGGATTGAATTCGGGTCCTTGCACTTGCAAGGCAGGTGGCGGAACCACTGAGCTAAATCCCGGCCCAGTGCTCATACATTTTTGAAGTTTGGGTTAAAACAATTACTGTTCAACATCTTCTAAAATTCTATTCAACTAAAATGGAATTCTTAGTGGTTCATTTATTTAAAACTTATTTAGATGATAAATTATAACAATTGAAAATACTGATGAAGATTGTTAATGGCTACATTTAATTCAGCCAATTCATATAGGGGAATGTGGAAATTATTGTGGTGGCTTCCCTAAAACACTACAAATGGATTGTATCTCTTCAGGTTTCATAGACATATTTTCAGAGTCAAAGGAGGGCCTTGGTGTTCACTCGTCAATGATACTGCGCTTCCTGCATCGCAATCGGATCTCTAGCATGGTGATTCCCTACCCAATGTTGGACCACTGTAATAACATGTGCACCATGCGGTCTTCAGTTCTGAAAGAGTCCCTGGATCAACTAGTACAAAAAGAAAAAGGTATGTCCAAAAAGAAAAGGTTATATGCATGGAAGATTTATCATCATTTTTCTAAACCTAATTTTCATTAGGTTTTCATCCTTGTCTTTTTTTCTGAAAATATAATAGTAGCCACTTTGTAGCATAAGAATGCCTGCCTGCTTGCCTGCCTTCCTGACACAACTTAATTTATCATCATTTAGTCCTCTGTTCAGGGATGCCTTTCCTTATTATTCTATCTGATTAATGCCCTTCACTCCATTCCACCATACCCAACCTTCTGGTCATTATCAACTTTATAGTTTTGTGGGGTTTTTTTTTTCCCAATACTGGGGATCAAACCGAGGGCCTCACACCTGCTAGTCAAGCGCTCTATCACTGAGCTATATTTTCAGCCCACCTTTGCAGGTTTCGTGGTCTACAAAGCATTTATTATCTGAAGTCATAGCATTATTTACTTGCATTTTATTTGTCTTGTTTACTTCCTTATCCTTACCACCTTATCAAACTGTCTGTCACATAGTAGGTACTCAAGGAGTAGTTGTTGAATAAATAGGGGAAGCCACCATAGACTCATTTAGTGATAACAGGTTAATGATGTCCAGAGACCTGTCTAAGGAGCATAATAGAATCCAGAAATAAGCCCAAGTACACTTGGGAACAGAGAACCAGATAAAATCAGTCTTATAAATCAAGTTGGAAAAGTGAATTGTCAACATACAGTAGAGTTAGGGCAACTGGTTAGCCACTTTGAGAGAAAATAAAACTAGATTCTCATTCTATTTCATTTACTAAAATAAATTTTAGATCAGAAAGTTCAACTAGAAAGAAAATGATAAGAGTACCAGAAGAAAATAGTCACACTTTTATAAAATACAGGACTTTTTTTTTTTTTTTTTTGGATGGTGGTATTAGAGATTGAACCCAGGGGCCACTGAGCTACATCCTTAACCCTTTTAAAATTTTTTATTTTGCAAAAAAGTCTTGCTAATTTGCCTAGGCTGGCCTTGAACTTGTGATCCTCCTGCTTTAGCCTCCTGAGTAGCTACTGTGCCTGACACAGGACAGCCTTTCCAAACAAGGCACGAAATCTAGAATGTATAAGGTAATTAAATTAGACTATATGAACATTTAAAGTTTTTGTTTGTTTGTTTGGTTGGTTGGTTTTTTTGATATAGGGTCTTGCTATGCAATCCAGGCTGGCCTTGATATCTCTGTGCAGCCCTGGCTGATATGGAACTTGCTATACTCCTGCCTTAGCCTCTTGAGTGCTGGGATTATAGGCATGTACTACCATGCCCAGCTAAAATTTTAAAGTTCTTTCCAGCAAAAAATGTAAGTGTCAGAGCACAAGTGAAATTTTATATTTTATAACATACATGTATTTCACTATATTTTTTCACTATATTTTTTAGTAACTCTTCTCTTGGGAAATTGCTTAACTCTCTTTTCCTTAGCTTTCTCATTTCTAAAATGAATTAATATACAAAGAATGCATGAAAAATTTTCTGGCTCATAGTAAACACACAAGTCAATATTAGCTATTATATGTGCATGTAATGTACACATACAATGTATATAAAATATGTGAATTGATAAAGTGACTAATTACCCAAAAGAAAATAGAAGCGTGACCAGTACCTACTCAGAAACACAAGTGGCTTTAAAAAGCCTTAAATATAATTAAAGAAATGTAAATTCCAAATGTAAGACATCATTTTCTTCTTTTGGCATGGTTTTGCAAACTGACCAATTTAAGTGTTGAATTTATAATAAGATAATGGGGCAATACTGGCCAGTGGGTTCTTTGGAAGGAGAATTTAAGGAGCATTTACTGTTTCTAGTGCCAAAGTGCCAAGCATATTTCTGTTATTATTTTAAATGACTGGTTTTTTCCCCTTTGTCAAAGAGACGTTATGTGATAAGCTGGTTTTTCCTATAGAAAGCCCTGGAGATCTAACCAGAAGCCCAGAGATGGATAAACTCAAGTCAGTTACAAAATGCTATGCTTATATAGAAACGTCCTCCAACCCCGCAGACATCGACAAGATGACAAATGGAGAAACATCATCCTACTGGCAGTCAGATGGCAGTGCCCGCTCACACTGGATTCGGTGTGTGATATGTTTTCATTGCTTTTGGAATGTTTTCTATTTACCCGCCTAGTTCTTTTTTTCTTATCTTGAGTAGCTATCTGTGAAGATGTATTCAGAATCAAATTAAAGGAACCTATAATCCCACTACTCTGGGAAGCTGAGACAGGAGGATCTTGAGTTTGAGCCCAGCCTGGGCAATTTAACAAGACTCTTGTCTCAAGATTAAAAAAAGTTTTAAAAGGCTTGGGATGTAGCTCAGTGTGAAGACCTTGTATTCAACCCACCATACCACACAAATAAGTAAATAAATAAATTCAAATAAAAAGAAAAGAAATCAAAAGGAATTGTGTAAAATCATGTAACTTGGCTCATATATTTATAAAACATAATTTCTTGATATTCTAAAGGAGGAACTAGCATTTGACTGATACTGTGCTGATTTCAGATACTTCTGTTAGTTTACCAGGAAAGTTATCATAAGGGGCAAGTAATTTTCTTATATCTTCTGTGATTATACTTTTTAAGATCCCTTCTGTATATTTTAAAAAGTTATTTTGTGAGTTGGCTAGTTTTGAAGAGAGAATGGTATACTCAGGAATCTTGGATAGTAAACTTTGGTATTTCTAGAAATTCTGAAGCTGCTGTCTAAATTTTCACCACTTCCTTCAGAAAATGGGCTAATTTCAATTGGTGGAAATAGAAATAATTGTCTTGTTTTCTCTTAGGTTCAAATTTGACCTTTAGCCATCTAACTAATTTATAGATGAGTTTTAGGGTATGTAGTTTATAATTTGCTTCTTGCCAGGTAAAGAAATTTTCTTAGAGTGTTCATATTGTCCCTTTCTGTCTATATTACTAACTTTATAGGAAATATAAGATTAATCTTGAACTGAAAAGCTTTTTAAGAATTGGGAAAATCGGGCCGGGGATTTAGCTCAGTGGTTTTGCCACCTGCCGTCCAAGCGCAAGAACATGAGTTCAATCCCCAGTACCAAAAAAAAAAAAAAAGGAAGAATTGGGAAAATCATACGAACTTTGAAAATCATAGCCAGCATTTCAAGTTAGATGGTATTAGGAAAATCAGTCTTCGGGTATACCAACTATAAGATCTTTGAGATGGAATTTGTGGGCCTACCATTTTTTGAACCATATAAACATTTGTTTCTTCTGCTTTCTGTTTTTCAGTTTAAAAATGAAGCCAGATGTTGTGCTTAGACACTTGTCTATTGCAGTGGCTGCCACTGACCAGAGCTACATGCCGCAGCAGGTGACAGTGGCTGTGGGGAGGAGTGCTGGTGATCTTCAGGAAGTCCGAGATGTGCACATCCCCAGCAATGTCACTGGCTATGTGACATTACTGGAAAATGCTAACATCAGTCAGCTCTGTAAGTCAAACAAGGGGAAGTAGAGGAAAAGAAGGAAAGTAATATTTTTATAGCATGAGGACCTCTGAAGTGGAGAAGCTCTTAGTTTTGAGATTTGATTTGCTTCTCCTGATATACACAAAATGGCCATTATTTTGTCTATAAAAATTAGAAAAAAGCAGTGAAGCCTTTTCTTTAAAATATTTTATTCTTCTTTGCTTATTGGAAATTTAGAAAAATAAAAATAGACAAAAATACTCAAAATTCTATACCCAGGGATTGTCACTATGACTACCTTGGTGTAGATCCTTTCAGACCTTTTCTTGTGTTTTTGTATTTATGTGTGTATGTGCATAAACATGCACAGACATACACATATATATATACACACTTTTTCTAAAAAAGGATTATATATAGTTTTATATATATATAGATACTGTATCTTTTTATAAAAATGGTGATATTGTGCTTATGTTCTTTTGTATTTTTCAATGTTGTGTTGTCATATATTCATGAACACCTTTATTTAGTGTTGTAAAAATATGTCTTAATTCTAACCCACCTCTTACTCTTGGACATTTAATTGTTTCCAGTTTTATACTATTATAACTTTCCTGCACACTAGCATTTTGGAAATAATCACAACTCTGTGATTTCTTTCCAGGCTTATTTCATTCATGGAGCCGGAATGCTTCATGTTTTATTTCATTTCTTCTAATGCTTTCCTGGGCCAAAAGAAGTGTTCTTACTTTGCTCAGAGGAACTGAGGCCTAGGGAGGTAGCATCTTTGTGTCTTGCTGATAGGCAAAGTAGTTAAGCTTGTGGAGTAGAAGCTTCCTGCCTTATACGATGGTGCTTTTTTCTCTAAGCTGTGTCCTTTTTAAAAATTTTTTTGTGATACCAGGGATTGAACTCAGGACCTTGCGCTTGCAAGGCAGGCACTGTGCCACTGAGCTAAATCCCCAGCCCTAAGTTGTGTCCTTTTTAACTTCTTACTGTCTGTCTTCTCTCCGACCCAATAAGAAATTGTGACATTTCCTGAAAGTGAGTCATATCTGTGTCATCTGTTTGGACTTGATTGTTAAAGAGATATTCTCGGGCCAGGGATTTAGCTCAGTGGTTCTGGTGCCTGCCTCACAAGCGCAAGGTCCCAAGTTTGATCCCCGGTACCAAAAAAAAAAAAGATTCTCACACTGCTTGTAAGTCAGCTACTGTTTTATAACTCAGTTTCAAACTCAAGGAAGAATTTAGGAAATTCTTAGCATGTCAGGATTTATAAAATGCTCTCAGTATAATTTCCGAGATTCATAAGTTCCTAAGAAATTTTATAATAAGCCACCCTCAATTTTACACATTATCCTTATGACGTCTTATATTCATCAGTATTTTTATGGCATTTTATTATGTACTAGTTCCCCAGCACACCTTATTTATGTCATCAAAAAGTATCTTCTGTAGAATTTTCTTCTTTTTTTTTTGGTACTGGGGATCAAACTCAGGTCCTTGCACTTGCGCAGCAGGCGGCAAAACCACTGAGCTCAATCCCCGGCCCAGAATTTTCTTCTTGAAATGTAAATTATCATTTTGCTTTTAGTCAAGAGCCTAGCATTTACTGAACTGAAGAAGTTAATCCAATACTGAATTTGTTGTTTGTGCTTGACAGATGTTCAGATTAACATAAAGCGTTGTCTTAGCGATGGATGTGACACCAGAATTCATGGTCTGAGGGCTGTTGGCTTTCAGAGAGTTAAGAAGTCCGGGGTCTCAGTCTCAGATGCTTCTGCAATATGGTATTGGTCTTTGCTGACATCTCTGGTGACTGCTTCCATGGAGACAAATCCTGCCTTTGTCCAGACAGTGCTGTACAATACTCAGTAAGTTGCTCTCTGTTTACCGTCCAGTCAAGATGCACACATTCTCCTCCAACCCTGCAGGGGTGTCACTGAGCAGCCTTCTAATGTCGGGCTCTGTCAACAGCTCAGTCGGGCTACCTGTTTTCTGTTTGTACCAGTCAGCTTTCCTTCTTCCCCTCAGCTTCTCTCTTTGATTGGTGTTCTGACCTTCTTGTCCCTCTTCACACAGTTCCTCCATCAGCTCTCTTAAGTCCTCAGTCTCGTGAGCTCAGTCATGCTATTCCTGTTCCTTATCTACTGGGGAACAACTCCACACGTTTACGTAGCACTTAATATTGGATAGAGCATTTCCGAATACTGTATGTTATTTTGCCTATTGACACTGAAATGTTCCTGTCTCAATTATTCTCATTTTATGAGGAGGATATTGTGACCTTCTCTGAGGTCACACAGCCAAGCAGTGAAGATCAGTTTGAATCTAGGTCTTTGGACTCCCAAGTCAAGAGCTCTGTTCACTAATGAGTGAAATCTTTTCAAGGATACTAAACTAATTTGTTTCACAATGTGGAGCACCTTTGAAAATTTTCTTTTAAAATTTATGAGGGCAAAAACTAAGTAGTAACACTTAAGACAAACACAACTGGAGCCAGGGATTTAGCTTAGTGGTTCTGCTGCCTGCCTTGCAAGTGCAAGGTCCCGAGTTTGATCCCCTGTACCAAAAAGACAAACACAACCAGCTTTAGTAGCAACAAAACATTAGTATTATATGTAGGTTCAATAACTGATAATTTTTAGTTAAGTTCTATTGATGTAGGCTACCAAAGCATCAGCCACTGGGAGATTGCTACTATTTTATTCTCTAAACATCTTTTGAGATTGCTTTCACTACTAAATAAAACTTTTCAACAAGTAACTTTGTTGGCAGTGCTAAATCTGAAGTATAAGAGTTGACCATACTCCTTTAACCCTTTTTGCTTTAACGTTATTTTTATAAACCATTCTAAATTTAGAGAAATATGGCATATATAATACAGGAATTCTTATTTCTTCCTCATTTGATAATAATTTGTCAGCCTGGTACCCCGTTGTCCCTGAATACTTAATGAGTATTTCCTACAAACAAGACGACCATCAAGATTAGGAAATTAACATTGATATACATTGCTACCATCTAATCCTCAGACTCCATTCAGGTTTTACAGGTTGTCCCAGTAATGTCTTGTCCCTTTTTTTTTTTTCATTTAAAAAAATTTATTTATTTGCATTTCAGAGAAACTGTTGACAAAGATTAATGGGAAATAGTCTTGAACCAGTGAAAAAAAAGAGTCAACACTACTGAAACACATTTTTTTAAAATTAAACAAATCTCTTAGATGCTGTCATTGATATCAGTGAAAAAACTGACTGCTTCTACTCTGCTAAGCACATGGTGATACATATTCAGTCACCTCTGTTCTTTCTTGAATATACAAAAATTAAAATACCAATTTAAAAAATAATATTTTTCTCTTTAAATGTTTCTCTTTTTTTTGGTATCAGAGATCGAACTCGGGACCTTGTGCTTGTGAGGCAGGTGGCAGCACCACTGAGCTAAATCCCCGGCCCCTCTTTAAATATTTCTTACAGATATGATTTCAGTATTCTCATTTAATAGTGGTGTAGTTTATGAGATTTTTTTTTTCCACTCATAAGTTAAGCAACCCACCCCAAGTTCCCCAAGGGAACTGATATTCTGTAGGCTCATAGTGCAAATAAAAAGTTCAAGAATGCAGCAACTAACATTTCTAAGATATAAAACAGATAAAATTCTAGAAGGTTCATGTAGAAAGCTTTGCTGAGTGGATGGCTACAAAACTAGAACATTGATAATTTTGCTGGTGATATCAGTAAGAACTCCCAGTGTTTCTTGACTCAATTTGCACTCTCATTTTAGGCTTTGTATTTGGCTTTTCCAGTTTCACTGATGACATAAACATGATTCAGATCCCTGAAATATTCATTATAGTCAAGGGCATATCCAACAGCCGACTCATCTGGAATTTCAAATCTAACAAAGTCTGGCCTATATCCAACACTCTGAGAAGTCCTTTTACCAGCAAGCTTGCAACCTTGACCATCTTTAGATTATACTGCCTGACCAAGGAAAGCAATGTTTGCATTGTTTGTTAATTATATCCTCAGCGATCAAGACTTTTTTTTCTTTTTTTTTTTGCTTTTTGAGACAAGGTCTCACTATGCAGTTCAGGCTGGCCTTGAACTCACTTTGAGCCAGGCTGGCCTTGAACTTGCAGTGGTCCTCCTGCCTCAGTCTCCCAAGTGCTGGCACATAGGCATGCACCATCACCCCCAACCAATCAAGACATTCTTTCTAGTTAAAATTGAGAGATCATCTCCACTAATTACTTTTATATCCACTGTTGACTGATCATTACTGTAGCTCTGCACAATATATGTATTGATTATAAAAGGAAAAATTACTTGAGTCTGATAAAATCTACAGTCAGGAATCCATTTGTCACAATTTCTATTGAGTACTTTAATCCAGCAGGTCAGAAAGAATTTATAGCCCTCCTTGAGAACAGAGAGCTACAATGTAATGGCCTCCCTTCTCCTTCGTCAGATCTTGAGCAAGCCTTTCAATGCTTCCATAATTAGTCCATAAGGAATAAACACTTTTTCCAAATCTTCACTGTAATGATCAGGAATACAAAATAAATCTGGGTTATAATCACCACACTGAGGCTGTGAACCACCATAACGGAGCCAACTGGCACAACAGCTGGCAGCAGTCTAAGAAGAAGGAAGCTGGCGGAGGGGCAGAGGAGCAAGCAGAGAATAATGTCTTTCTAATAAGTTTAGAATTGTATTTTATTGTCATATCTATTTAGTTTTCTTAAGTCTAGAACAATTCTTGAGTCTTTGTCGTTTATGACCTTGACACTTAAAAATTACAGATCAATTATTTTGAAGAGTGTCTTACAATTCCAGCTTAGCTGATGTTTAATCATGAATAGATTTAGGATCTACATGTTTGGCAGGAATACCATAGAAGTGATGTGGTGCTCTTATCACATCCCATCAGGTGGGATACAGCTTCACATTGCTCCATTGCTAGTGTTTGTGACATTATATTTGATTACTTGATTAAAGTGGTGTCTGCCAGATTTTTCCACTGTAAAGTAATTTTTCCTTTTATAATCAATACATATATTGTGCAGAGTTACTTTGAGACTATGTAAACATCCTATTATCCTGTTTTTTTAATCCTGTTTTATTATCCTATTTTTTATCCTGTTTTTCTATCCTTATCCTGTTTTTATTAGTAAGGACTCATGGATTCCTGTTTTATTCCCTGGGTTATAATTAACTACAGTTTTGATGCTCATTTTGTCCCAGATTTATCTGGTGGCAACCCCTTTAACCTGGCTTGTGTGTCTTTTTGACACATCTTCCTTGTTCTTAGAACACTTCCTTTCTCTCTTTCTCTCTCTCTTTTTTTTGAGACAAGTTCTCACTGTGTAGCCCCACTGGTTGCAAACTCATAGGCTTAAGTGATTCTCTTTCCTTAGTTCCCAGTAGCTGGAATTATAGGCACACACCACTGTGCCCAACTACTTCCTTAATTTATGGTATATGATACTCAAGTAGCTGAGTGTGGCGTTGCATGCCTGTAATCCCAGCCCTCAGTAGACTGAGAAGGAGGATCGCTGTGAGTTTGAGGCCAGCCTGGGCTACATAGTGAGTTCAAGCCCAGCTTGCACTACAAAGCTAGACCTTGTCTCAAAAAAAGGCCAGGGATTTAGCTCAGTGGTTCTGCCACCTGCCTCGCAAGCACAAGTCCCAAGTTTGATCCCTGGTACCAAAAATCATTCCTTCATTCCCCTGCCCTCTCCTCATCCCCACCCCCACAAGGAATTAATCAAAGCAAGCTTTTCACAGTATAATTTTATCTTATATCACTCCTGGCTTTGGTTTGATTTCATACATTAACTTTTCTAGGAAGGCACTTCAGCACATGCCTCCACTCTCCCTCTCACCGGGATCTACAGATTTCTCAACTTTCCTATCTCCCAACGTTCTAGAAGAAGTGGACAGCTTCCTCATAAGGATAACCAGGTAAAATCAAGGCTGAGATACACCCTTTGTGGGTGAACTCACTATGTAGCCCGGGCTAACCTCAAACTCCCAGCAATCCTCCTGCCTCAGCCTCCCAAGTGCTGGAATTACAGGGGTGCATCACCATGCCTGGCTCTGAAACTTTTTTCTTAATCTCTTAAAGAACACCACTAAAAATGGTCCATTTTTAGGGGCTGAAAAGAAAAATGAAATAATAGTACACTCATTTGAGCTGGATAGCTCACCCATCTGAGCCAGTAGCTTGACAGAAGGAACACTTATGTAGGGACTCTCAGCTGTGCTTCAGTGAGCCCTGAAGACATAACTGTATTAGACAACAAACCAGTCTTGAGATCCAGGTAGATTTAAAAGTTCAGGGTAATGTGTTTAAAAAGGCAGAGAAGTGCCAACTCATTAGCCAAGTCTTCTTAAGGCAGAGTCACTGTAGTAGCTCATTAATTTTTGGCTGCTATGTATCATTTAATATTTATGTAGATTAAGTTTGCAGAAGTGAGAATTTAATTCCCTGGTCCCCTGGATTGATTTAATTTTCCCTTAAGGATTTTAAGAATGTACTTTTGATAAACACATAAAAAGCATATGGAAGGGTAATTTTACTTACAATCATTGGTTACATGAGTTCGAGCTGTGAGTTTTTTCTCATGTTTTTAAAAAGTGAAAATTTTTTTGTTTGCTCTTTATAGCTGCTGTTCTACCCCAGAAGTAGAACTGACTCTTCTGGCTTTTGCACTAGCAAGAGGAAGTCTTGCCAAAGTGCTGAACTCTCTGTGCACCATTACGGACCACCTGGACACACAGTATGACGCCTCATCCCTCATCTCCTCCATGGCATCAGTCAGACAGAACCTGCTTCTCAAATACGGTAATGACCTGGGCACGATGGAAATGCCAGCAGTGGACAGAGCATAAAGCTATCCTCACTGTGTGTCTTCCTGCCATCTTCCTGTCTTTTCAGTAGTTTGTGAGCTGGGTTGTGACAGTTGTGCCATAATTCCTGGGTGATCATGTCCTCCAAGCCCCAGCCTTTGACTAAAGTTGGTAGGGAGAAGGGGGCTGTTGGTTTATGCATGATAGGATCTGCATAAGAAGACACCCAAGGGTCCCGTGGGCTGTGCACCCGGAATCTATTGGCATAGTCTTTTTGGTCTGGTGGCTCTTTGAACTTAGTCTTGTTTGGTGAAGTACAGAAGTATCTCATTGTTAGGCCAAGAAATTTGAGAAGTTGTAGTACCTCTCATCCAGAGGGAGGAAGTTGGCCAAGACCTGCCATAGAGGGATCCTTGGCTTAGAATTCATCGCTCTGCATCCCTATTATAGCTTCTCAGAAGCACTCATGTCCATGCTTGTTACTGCCTTCCCTTCCTGGGCCCAGTAGCACTTCACTGCTGACCCAGGATGGGGCCCCAGGCCTTCTCAGTACAGGCACCCAAAAAGCTGTTCCCAGTGTCCACTGCCATGGCGTGTGAGGGACAACTTACTTTGCTCTCTTAGCCTCTAGTGGTAGAGTTTATGTCCAGAAAGTTTGGTATTAGATCCCATCCTTTTAAGTAATAGAGGCATTACTGTGATTTTCTACCTTTGGATTAATAAGATATCATGATTTATTTTATGTTTAAATTTTAAAGTCAGGCAATTGATCGTTTGTAAATCCAGTTTCCCCCCTACATTTGGAAAGGTATTTTATTTTTGGAGAGGTGGGGGCTCAGAGCATCCATGGCTTGGTGCTTTAGGGAGCTGAAGTGTTTGTTCTTCAGAAAATTTTACAATTCAGATTAGTAGTTGTTGGAACAGGGAATAGAGAGTAGGGAGGAATTCATAAGGCGAACTGCATTACTAGTGATGATCTTCTATTATAGCATAATTGATATTTATTGTATTATTAAAAGAAAAATTTTTTATTGCATACAATAACTAATTTATTAATATTTTAAAAATCCAAACAACATAATAAATTTGGCTTCTTTCCCCCACAGAAATGGGAACTATATTTCAGTAAAGGACAATTTAATTATTTTTACATACTACACTATCGTTAGGTTTTATGGTTCTTTAAAGTATGATACTAGCAAAAATACATTAACTGATTAGTACAGAAAACAGTTTACAATAATGCGGCAAGCAAGAAACAAAAACTCATGAGAAAAAACCCTGGTTTAAAGAAAAATTTCAAATAAACTATCACAATACAATAGTTTATCCCTAACATTAAGCCCATTAATAGAGCACTTCTGTACCTACATACAAAAAATAACAAACTGTGGCATTTATTGCAGCAATACAGCATTAAAGGTCATAATGTATATGACTTAAATACCCCCTCCCCCATTGATATAGTTGCTTCTTATTCCTTAAACATAGAAACTCTGCTCTTCATGGTAGAAAGATGAAGTCTGCTCAGCAAAAGGTACATTCTTATCTTCTAGGATGACTGGCATCAAACAAAGTGTTATCATCCTCATCATTTTGTTCCAAAGGTGTCAATTCCATGTTCTCTGTGTTAGTGTCCAAAACGCCGTACCTCTTCATCTTTCAGTTTTTCCTTCTCATCCTGACCGTCCTGACTACGAAGTACACCAGCACTGCGCCGCTCACCACTATCAACACGGACAGGGCTCGCTGTGTCATGGGCTTGTCGTCCGGGTTGGGGCTCACAGCCTGGCCGCCCCCGACGGAGGCTTCCCCGCCCCGCCCCCCCCGCCCCCCCAGGATTGTCCGCTAGAGCCCTGCCCCGGGGCTGCTGCCATTGGCATTGCCCTCTGAGCCATGAAGTCCTGCGACTTTGGCTGGAGCTTGGCCCGCGACTGCGCCGCGGTGGGACCCGGGGGCAGCAGCGGGAGGGTCCGCGGGCAAGAGTCTGGAGGCCCGGGTGGCGGGCAGCACCGGCGTGGGCCCGCCCAGTGCGGGCGGCAGCAGGAGCAGCACGGAGGGCAGGAGGCGTCGGAGGCAGCAGCATCAGTGCCGAGCCGGCATAGTCCCCAGGCCGTCCTCTCACCATGTCGCAGCTGCCTGGCCCACCACCCTGGCTCCACGTGAGACCAGGGGCGCGCTAGGAAAAGTGGTGGCCGGATCCTGAGCTAAGGCCCAGGACGGCAGGTGGCCGAAAAAAATTTTTGAAGCAAAGCATTTATTGGTACATTTTAGATATGCATAATGATAACATTCATCATAGGGAAGAAAAATATTTTTAGATTATCATAGCAAAAATTAATTTTTAATGTTCTTTTTTTTTTTGGTACTGGAGATCGAACTCGGGTCCTGGCGCTTTCAAGGCAGGCGTTAGAACCACTGAGCTAAATCCCCGGCCAATTTTTAATATTCTTGAAACTTTCAATACAGTGGACCCTTGACTTACGGACTCAATTCATTCCCGAGGGCTGGTTGTAACTCAGCTTGGTCAGTTGCCTTCAAAGTCTCTCTTCTATATTATTTTAGGCCACACTTTCTTCTAGGCAGATCTCAGTGTCCTTAGAGAGACATTGGCCCAGAATCTCTCAATTAACCCCACACAAGAAAGGATGTTGTAATGTTCCTTCCACTCTTTAAGGGTTAAATCTGTTATCTGAGACCATCTGGAAGCATAAGCGGCCGACATTCGGCTCATAACTCAAGACTTTGTTCCTAAGTTAAAACTAAAATTCTGGTTGTAACCCAAGTTGTTTGTATGTCAGAGTGGTTATAACTCAAGGGTCTACTGTATCTGCCTGGAGATGTTTAACAGAAATTGACAGGGGTGGGTTTGGAGGAGGGGAGGATGGGAGACCCTGGCCAGGTTGGAGCATGGGCTGGAGGGAGCCAGGAGAGGTAGTGGCTGAGGACTTTGGGATATAGGGAAGAGTGGCCAAGCCTGGGCCTTGAGGCTGGGAGAGGGGACCCTAGGCCAGCACAGAGATGCTCCTGCCTGATGCTATTGCTGGCACCTCTTCCTCTAGCCCCGGGGTGCGGATGGGGCACAGATCCTCAATTCCCCCTCTGAAGGTTGCCAGATCATATACCTGCCCTGGGGGGAAAACAAAGTAAAACATGATTGAATATATATATATTTTATGTGTATCTTTTACTTTTGGTGTTTTTGGGGGGATACCGGGAATCAAACTCAGGACCTTGCACTTGCCAGGTGGCACAGTGCCACTGAGCTAAATCCCAGGCCTTAGTTTTGGAGATACTGTCTTGCTATGTAGTTCAGACTGGACTGGAACTCACTAGGTAGTCTGGGCTGGCCTCCAATTCATGCTGATCCTCTTGCCTCAGCCTCCCAAGTGGTGGGATTACAGGTGTATACCACTATGCTTGGCTTTTTTTTTTTTTTCCTGTTTTTTTGAGACAGGGTCTTGCTGTATAGTTCAGAATGGCCTTGAACTCACTATGTAGTCCAGGCTGTCCTTGAACTTGTGGTAATCCTTCTGTTTCAGCCTCCCAAGTGAGGGGATCACAGCCATGGGTCACAGTGCACAGCTGATTTATATATTTAAATATAATGCCATAAAACTGATCATTGGCTTCAAAACAGTATCTTAGAAACCCTTCCCAAATGTATTGCTTCTGTGGTATTAGCCCTTTTTTTTTGATACCGGGGATCGAACTGGGGTCCTTGGCTTGCGAGGCAGGCGGCGGAACCACTGAGCTAAATCCCCAGCCCTGTGGTATTAGTCTTTATGCTGTAATGTGCTTTGTTTCTTAACAGTGATTATTCTAGAGCCCTTTCTTTGGAATCATTCAGGGAAATAAGCTGTACTTTGTCTTGTTCAGGAAAATGGAGGGATAATATCAACTTTTGCCTAATGTTTCTGCCCTATTTTAGCTTTTAAGTGGGTAAACTTTTGTCAGAACTCTGAGTAGCCACAGGCACACCCCACTAGTTTTGTTTTTTGTGGGGGTGAGTAACAGGGTTCAAACTTGGGACCTTGTGCTTGTGAAGCAGGTGGCGGAACCACTGAGCTAAATCCCCAGCCCCTCTTTTTTTTCATAGAGGTAGCTTAAGTCTTGCCATCACTTTTCTTTGGTCAGGTAAACCTCTCCAGTTGACTCTTCAGGCTTGTGATGTCAAAGGAAAAGAAGACAAGTCGGGACCTGAAAACCTCCTTGTGGAACCATGGACGAGGGACGGTGAGTGGTGGATGAGCTGTTCCTGCTGTTCCTGCTGAGCTCAGGCAGATGTATGTTTTGACAGTGGCTCCTGTGCAACTTTTGTGGTTTAGTTGTAATCTCTGTAGGTGTTAGTGACCTGTAAGAGTTTCCAAGTATTTGGGAGCATGCAGGCTATTCAAACCTGAAGTTTTGAAAAGCAAAGACTCTTCCTCTTAGACTAGGAAAAGCTATTGTTTTAAAGTTTAGGTTGTCTTTTCGTTGTGTTGTCTTGTAGTATGAAGAAACCATATTGCTAAAAGCATAATTAAGAAGGGCATTTCCCCACACTGTCTGGCACCTGACAATAGGAAGCCTCACTTATCCCTAGTGGCAACATAATAATTGCTGATGGGTGCTTCAATTTGTGGGCAGCACTTTTCTTCATCCAGAGGGTGTTTGTGACCCCCTTCCTCATCCCTCCTGATGGCCACCTGGTTTGTGTCCTACGTGTGTCCCTTTTCTACTCACTAACTGCTTTGAATCTTACCAATTCAATAAAGGAGGTTGAATGTTCCCACAGTTATAAAATACTGAAAGGGCCTGGCCTTCCTGCTTTGGATTTGTTTTCCCCTTGGCTTTCCTCACAGCACTGTAGTCTTTATATATTGGTGCTGCCTTTTCTCTATTCTGTGTCCTGTATCTGTTCTCAGTACCAGTGACCCTTAGGAAAACACGTGTTCCCGGTTGCACCCCCATCCTTGGTGGTCCTCTTAAGCAATTGCCTTGTACTGGAAGTTTCTCTATAGTCTTCTTGAGAGCTCAACCTAGGCAGAGAAGTTTCCTTCACTACCTCTGTTGCCTGCAATACTGGAAGTCACAACAGGCCTTGTCACTTGCTATGCAAAACCATGGGATTGGGAGGAAACTGTGGCAGCTCTTGTCCTTTTTTCTCTCCTCTTCCCAAGAAAAACAAGACCACTTTGCTAGAGACCCTCTGTATTTTTCAGTCACTCTGAGGAATTGGAATTTTTGTCTCTGGAGCATGTGAAGGCAGAATCTTCTGACCCCAGAGTATGGAGTCTTATCACTGTGCTGAGTCTGACAGAACCAGAGGGTTGTGTTGGGCTGGGTTTGGTTTGGTTTGCTTTTTGTTTGTTTGCAAGACAAGATGCATTTGTCAGCTCTTTTGCCTGATCTTATTTGAATACTTTGTTATTCTTCCTGTGTCTTTCACCTGTCCACCTCTCCTTTTGCCCCCTCTCGCCGCATGGGTCGATTTTTAAAATCCAGCTCTAGCCAATGGATTTGGTTAGGTTTGGTTTGGTTGGGGTTTTTTGGGGGTTTTTTTGGTACCTGGGATCGAACTTGAGACCTTGCGCTTGCGAGGCAGGTACTGGAACCACTGAGCTAAATTTGGTTGGTTTTTTGAGACAGAATCTCATTATGTAGTCCATGCTGACCTTGAACTTGCCATCCTCCTGCCTTAGCTTCCCAGCTACAAGCATTTGTTATTGTCCTTCTGAGCAGCTCAAGGGTGGGATGTGAGTGGATATAGGCAGGAGCCCTCAGCTCCTCCTGGGTCTCCCTTTGCAGCTTTGGATATTTCTTGTAACTCCGGTTCTATGTGGATCTTTCTTACTCTATTACAAAAAAATGAGCCTGAGGACAAGAGGAAAGTCCTTACAGCCAGAACTTCTGGGTTTGGAGGAGTGATGTTTTCTTCTCTTTACAGGGGTAAAAGCATCTTTCACAAGTATGCTTCAGATTCCTTACTGCAGGGAAGTACCACTTCTTGATATGGACAAAGAGCACTGCAGTGCCCAAGAATAGCCAGAGAACAATTGTTGACATCCCAGAAGACTTTCATTTTTTTTTTTTCTTTCAGTACTGGGAATTGAACCCAGGGACACTACTACTGGCTACAACTCCACCTCTTTAAAAAAAAAAAAAAATTAGAGGGCCAGGGATTTAGCTCAGTGGTTTTGCCACCTGCTGCGCAAGCACAAGGACCCGAGTTTGATCACTGGTACCAAAAAAAAAAAAAAAAATTAGAGACAAGGTCTCAAGAAAGTTTCCCAGGTGGGACTTGAACTTTCAATCCTGCCTGAGCCTCCCAGAGTGCTAGGATTATAAGTATGTGTCCCATGACTGGTCAGAAGGCTAACATTCTTGAAGGTCATGGCCCCTTTGTTTGGTATTTTAAAGGAAATCTGGCCAGTGGAAACTGAACTGATAGGTATATTAAATCCTTTAAATCTGTGATTGATTGTTTTCCCTGTCATTTTAAGAGATTCAGTTTGACAAGAAGGAGGCAGGGCGTCAAACAGTTGTAGATTGCAAAACTAAATCTACAAAAAAGTTACTGTGTGTAAATCACAATTTAATATGCAAACTGGTTTCTCACCAAAAAAAATGCACAAAGGTTTTATTTATTTAAGACTTTTTTTTCTTTTAAAACCTAAATGTGTATCTGGTGGTGATATTTAAAAAGGTCTGTCTAATACTGTTGACTTAAATTATGGCTTCATCTACCTTGAGATTAATTTAAATTGCTGACTAAGCATGTAACTTCTAAGCAATATTTTAGCCATTATCATAGATTCTTTTTTAAAAAGAATACTATTTTTAAAATTTTGTCTTACAGTAGATTTCTTTAAATAGAGATCATTCAGACCTCTGGGAAAGATGACAGTTAAATAATTAGGATAGTTTTTGGTATAATTGTTAGAGTTATATGCATTTCTGGCAACATGGTATTACTATTTGATCTAGATCATATAGTGGCATCTGAATTAGTAAAACTTCCTTTGAATTTAATTTTCTTGGATTTAGTGACAGATTTTGCATATTGTCTTATGAAGATTCAGCCTCATAAATTTTGTTTTATTGAATTTGACACAAAGTAATAAAAAGCATGTGCTGCACTTGGTTGCATACACCTGTAATTTTAGTACCCTGGGAGGCTGAGGCAAGAGGATTGATCACAAGTTTGAACCCAGCTTGGGCAACTTAACGAGATCCTGTCTGAAAAAAGATCTGGAGATGTAGCTTAGTGAAGACTCTGGGTTCAGTCCCTGGTGCAAAACGAAACAAAACAAAACCTGAAATTGGCATCAGTCTTTTCATCTTGATAGGCAGAATGATGTAGAACAATTCAGGGTCCCAGAAGGAAGGATTGTTTAGCGCTGAGCCTGGGCTTGTATTATATCATTTAGAGAGATTTGAACAAGAGGCACCCTTGGGTCTAAAAGACAACCTTTTTGGGTGGTTAAAAGATAATTAATAACAGAAAATGGTAAATCACAGCTCTCATACAAATATAAATGATTACATGTCAGACTTTTTATTAACTGATCAAGAAACCAGTAAGATGTTACATGTAATTCAAAGGAGAATTTGTAAAATGCACATAGACCAAGAAGAATGCTGAAATTAATTTATAGTTAGATAAAGATTGCTCAGTATCCTTGAAGAATAATCACCTATATTTCCTTAAAGAACAGCTTTTATTTCTGTGGAAAAGAATCACTTTTATTATTATCAATATTCTATAACTTACATAATTGTAAAATATAAAAATAGTAAAAGGTGGAGATAACACAAAGAGTGTATTAGACAGGACATCCAATAATCTTCATTTGGCCCTTTCAGTGTCTTTCACAATGTTTCCTAATCAAGTGTTCTAGAAGCTAACTAATCCTTCTCAGTCTCTTAAGTCTGCTTGGCTTTTATCAGACCAGCCAAATATCAGTCATGGTTTTAGATATGGCTCAGGAAAATAATTGGCCAGTCTTTTGTCTCTGAATTAAAGGCATAATCTTTTTTATGTGTGTGTGGTGCTGGGGATGGAACCCATCCTTGCACATGCTCTATCATTGAGCTATATCTCTAGCTAAAGTCACAATGTTTATAAATGTTTGATTGATTGATTTTTGAGACAGGGTCTCTCTTTGCTATCCGTATTGACATTAAGCTTTTGATATAGCCCAAGCTGGGCTCAACTCACAATTCTCCTGCCTCAGCTTCCTGAGTTCTGGTCTTAGAGGTGTGCACTACCACACCTGATAGCTTTATATCTTTACTGTTAACTCAGAGGAGGGTCATTTGTAAAGTTGAGGAGATTGTGCCTATAAAAATGAGTCAGTCATTCTAACTTTAGTTTTCCCTTTTTTCAGGTTTTCTTACAGAGACTGGGAAAACCAGAGCAAGTACTATTTTTTCTACAGGAACTGAATCTGCCTTCCAAGTAACACAGATTAGAATTATGGTAACTCTCCTGCTACCTTCTTTTTTTGTTTGTTTTTAAAAAATTTTTTTTGTTACCAGGTATCGAACTCAGGTCCTTGCGCTTGCACAGCAGGCGGCGAAACCACTGAGCTAAATCCCTGACCCCAACCTTCTTTTTTTTTAGATTAATTTTATTGGTACATTTTAGGTATATAATATAATGACATGCATCATTGGAAATTTGCACCTTTACACAGTCTCTCTTGGTTCTTCTTTTTTCCCCCATTCCCCTGCCCTCCCATCAACCCCTCCATCTCTCCCTATTTACAAAGACTTTGTTATGAAAGGTTTTTTTGGGGGAAAGACTTTGTTTCCCTTTTTTCATTTTCTCATATTAATTCCATTTCCTTCTTTTTCCCCTTTGCCCCTTTTCTTCCTATTTCACATTATCTATTATACCTTTTAGTCCTTACTTACACTTTACGTTTTTTTTCTTCTTTTTTTTTTGTTAATAGAGCAAATTTTATTGATTGATTTTCAAACATTAAACTAATGTTTTTTCAGTCCTGGAATAGACCCCACTTGGTCACAATATATTTACATAAATTTATGTTTTATATGAGTACATAATACATTTTGGTAGGTTTAATATGCCAAAGTTTTGTTTAGAATTTTTGTATTTATGTTCAGTAGGGATATATGACTACAGTTTTTTCCAGTAGTATTATTTGGTTCGGGTATGTATGTATGTATGTATTTATTTATTTTCCTTAGATTCTTTTATTAGTACATTTTATGTATACAATACATTTATATTTATCATTGGGTGCTTGTACCTGTACATGATATATCCAAGTTCTTATGTTTTTCCCCATTTCCTGTCCTCCCTT